GAACAATGTCCATTGGACAGAAAAGAAAAATAATTGCGGGTGTCTGGCCATACTGCACAGCATGGTTGGTGAAACCAGCTCCAGGTCTGGGCAACAGCTTTCAGTCTGTAGATCAGATGGAAGAAACTGTAAAAAAATAAAAATAAAAATGGAATAATTATGTTTTCTGTTATTAATTTTACAGGAAAAGAGTACGTAACAGTAACAACTTCTGTTTAATCACCTGGCAAAATATTTATTACATTTACAGATCAAACGGGACCCACAACAATTCAGAAGAGCAATTACATAAAGTAGACAAGCGATGTAAATGTTCTTTTATGTCTTTAAGCTTAACCTAGAATTTACTTACAGGTGCATCCTCATTGAGAATACTGTATTAAAAACATGGTTAGTGACAAGACTGACATATATTCAAATAATGTTTGTGGAAATGCACAAAACAGTAATGAAGTAAGTAAGTCCAAAATCTTGTCACATACACTCTTAATCTGGCATATCAGATCCAGAGCTTTGTGAACTGTGTGCTGGTTGAAGCCAGAAGCCTTGGCAGAACACAGGGACACAGGGAAGTGGTGAGCCTTCACTTCCACTTCCTCCTTAAGAATGACTTGGTGACTTTCTATATCTGACATGTGGCTCTAGTCTCAGCTGCGATGCATTTAAGCATCGCAGCTAATTTTGGGATGCTTTTGCATCTATGTTGAAAAAGGATCAACAACAAGAAATCAATTTTTCTAGTTTTATATGACATAAAGCAGCCATATCATACTTTCAAATATTGCCCAACTAAGTACTTTGGGTCTACCTAAAGTAAGGTTCTTTAATGTCCTCCGGAGAGGTTTTAGTTCTTTTCAAAGATTTGGTTCTTTTTGGTCTGCTCCCTTTGAAGAGCCAGCTGGCACAGCTCTCAAATGGCTCTTCATTTAGTATCTCTCAGCGCCTTCAAATACAAAGGATGCATGTGTGACATGTTTATTCAGTGTTTTCATAAATGTCTTACTTTTTGCATTTGCTACTGCTGGTAAGAATAGATATGGTGTTTAAAGATTGGACAAATGTTGTTAGCCATTTTCCATTTTGGAGGAGTAATTGGCTCCTTACCCAGTTTCTCATTAACACTTATCCGTTTGCCTTGGGTCATTTGTTTTGGAATAAATGCACCCATTTTCCTAAATGTACAATTATTGAATTGCTGAAGGCCAGTGTATACCTGCAGTTTTCGGCAAGACAATGGATACTATAGAAGTACTCAAAATGGGAAACTGCTCTAGGGCCAGTGGCTGGAGGAAAAGGGCAGATCTCCTCCAGCTGTATGGACGAGTGAGTGTATATGTTTATTGTTGACCTTGCTCTGATTGATATTTTCAGTTTGTACATTTTGCACTCAGCTTTGCAGTCTTTTTCCTTTCTGCAACAACAGAAGGACAATGTTTTTGAATTGCAGCCAGTTGTTCCTACTTTCTATTCTCTTAACTTTCTCCTAACGTGGCTGAATTTAAATCCAGGTCCCCAGCTCTCTGTGCTTACCTGGCCTCTACCACTACACTACCTGCATGGATTCTCCACAGAGCTGGCTCACCTCAACGGGAGTCGGCTCTTCTCACACGCTGCAACAACAGAATGGCACATCACTATTTTATGAACCCACATTGAACTTGAATTTGAAGTAAAGAAGTGGGGAGAAAAAATAAGAAGAAAAAGTGAGAGCAACTGACACAGGCTGCATTCTGGTTGATGCACAAGCACTTGCCAAAAGAGAAGAACAGAAGACAGAGAAATGACACAATATTGGAAAGCACCAGAGTTTAAGAATA